TTAAAAAAAAAAAAAAACTTATGAGGTTGTCCTGTAGCTGTCAGTCGTAGTAGTTTAGCAAGACATGTACTGCTAGTATTACATAAGTATTTTGGTTTTATGCAAAGAAGATCGACTCTTAAAGTTATTTTCTCTAGGGCTCTAATGGAAGTTTACGAGAAATCTCCATCAAATTGGCCTATAGCCCTAAAAGTTTATGAGTTTGTTGCATTCTCACTCTTAGGGACTAGAACTAGAAGTGTATAGGTGGTTTGTGGTGGTTAGTACTTGGAGAGGTACATGAGTAAGTGTTATCACAAGTCGCGACCATAAAGAGTTACCATTACTTCATAGAATTTTGATACAATTGTTCATAGTAAGGGTGTTGACGAAACCCGTAGGCTTGAGCAAACTGTCCGACCTGACCCAAACCGATGGGTTGTGAACAGTTTCACGTGTAAGCTTGGTGCACTTCAAGTGTGAGGCTTAAATTTTTGCGACTTGGCGGTCCTTCACGGGTAGGTCATGCTCAAACTCGATCAATCCGATCCGACTGATAATCTTTAGAAAACCATTCAGTCCTCACATGTATAGATATTTATGGTATCTAGATTACTCTTGTCAGATTCTCATAATGTATTGTTTGAAAATAACTTTGAAGAACTCAAAAGATAGCTATGCAATCCAAAAGACTACCTAAGGAACCTAAATCCATCCTCTCTCTTAATGCAGTTATTAAAAAAAATATAACTTGAAGAACTAAAAATAGTTTGTAGAATTCAGAAAGACAACTTAGGGAACCAAACCCCTCTCTCTCTCTCTCTCTCGGCATAGCTGGTTTCTCTCATTCTGGGACATTAACGATGGGAGTCTCCTCTACAAGCTCACCTCACCCGTTTGAACTCGTGGTGGTGACGGCAGTGATCGATGTAGCAGTGATGGTCTCACGGTGGCGATGGCCATGGTGCAGATGTTTTATTCACTCTATCAGATCGATATAGCAATAGTGGATTCGAAGGTCGCTAAGATCTTTTCTTCACTCTAGTAGATCTCCTCTCTTTCATATCTCTTTCTTCTCATGGTTGTGGGTTCTTAGATCTGCATATGTGACTGATGAGGCTTCTTCTATGTTCTTTGTAGGAAACCGATGAAATCGACCGACAAAACCGAATCAAAGTACGGTCAAGTTCGTGCAATACTTCAGTCGATGCCGGTTGCTGGAAGTGTCAAATTGACGGTTCTAGCTGTGAACCTGAGCCCACTGACTTGTGAACACCACTAGTTCATAGGTTTACCAAATGCCTTGGTGGTCATAGTGGTGGAGCTAGGATATTCTTATTTATTTATCTTGAAGCATGAACATTAGCATGTGAAGGAACACAGACATTTGTATAGATACGAGACTCATCAATTTAAAACAAATTAGGATTACAAACACTGCGTGGATATAGCAAATTTTTTTTAAAAATAATTTTAAAACAAATTAAATTTATATATTTTTATTTGTTATGTATACAAATATAAATCTAGGGCATAGTGATATGGGAGGAGTCAATGTATATGTTGATGCATTTTTGTTCTTTCTCACTTTGTTTCTATTTTTGTTTTTATATATTTACTTTGAACCCAAACTAGTTCTATAAAATTATAAACAAGCCCACAAACATATCATGGGTCTTGACACATGACACACATGCCCATGAATTGTCCCTAACGTGTCTTGTAAAAATAATAATTCAAAAATTGACATGCCACGTGGTGTGTTCAACACATGCACATGTGTTCGCGCCGTGTTGGTGTTTGACAAGTGTCGAACATGGACACAACGCCCATGCTTAGAAAAGGAGGGTTGTGTCAAGTGGCCTCACAGTCAACACGTAAAAATCTTTGTTAAATCCCTTGTGAACGTGAATTTTAATAGGACTATGCAAGTATGGGCTAGGGTGTTCCCAGTAAGCGATGCATTGCTTTCCTTTACATGCTTCAAAAAATGGGCAAAGGACGCCACCTTAGTTGCATGAAGTGGGGGCAGGGGACGGGGACGGGGACGGGGACATATACAAGTTTCTAAGGTTGGTAGTGTATTTATATTTATATATTTAATATATAAATATATTTTAACAATTATTTTTTATATATTTAATATATAAATATATTTTAACAATTATTTTTTCTACTTAGTTGTAATGCATGTGTTAAAATATGAATAAATATTTGAGACTGATGTCAATTACAAATTGTCTTTGTCAAGTATAAGTACAAATTATGTAAATAGAAAGTACTACAATATGTTTAAGTTGTTTTTCTTTTGTTTGTTTGAAGTTTGAATAGTTAAAAGTTTCTATCTTAGTTGGGAGCAAGTTTCTTTTTTGACGGGAGCGAGTTTTTTACAAGTTTCTTACTTGGTAGCGCATAAACTTGTTTCTTAGTAAGAAACGTCACCCAAGTAAGAGTTTTCTGCTACTAAGGGCGCTACATCAACACTTAGATGCGGTGAAAAATTTGCAACGGTCCCTGTGCTTTTTTGGACAAGTGTGGGTAAACTGTGGATTTAGAATAGCGACTTAGTATATAGGCATACTACTAGGGAAAACCATATTGACAATCTGGTTCACTATCTTTGTGTTTTAGTCAATTGGTGTTGTATGTGTTATGCTGAAGCAAAGTCAGTGGATCATTTGCTCATTCATTGTTTCGTGACTTCTCGGTTATGGGCGCTTATTTTTTCTACTTTTGGAGTGGTGTGGGTTTAACAGAAAGGGGTGTTGGAGGTTCACTGTAGTTAAGGATGGGGTCGGGTTGGAAAGAGGCAAAAGAAGGCTTGGGCTTTGGCCCCATCATGTTTAATGTGGTTGCTTTGGTTAGAGCGGAATCGACACACATTTGAGGGGGTTGCTCAGACGTTACCTTTGTTAGAGAATCGGTTCTTTGGTGTTCCACATAGTTGGATATCGGGAAGGGTAGATCTAGATTTGTTTACTTATTTGGACTTTGTAGATGATTTGATTGGTTAGGTGTTTCCCCCCCTTTTTCATGGGGTGTTAGTTTTGTTTTTTTAGCATCTTCTTGATGCTTTTGGCAATAAATTTATTTATCAAAAAAGAAAAAGAAAAAAAGAAGGTAAAACCATGAATTTGTAGATATTGTGATTAGAAGAAAGTTCGTATAGTAAGCTTATAAGAAGCTAAATGCGTAGGTGCGACAGCAAAAGAAATAGAAAATACTGGATATAAACTTTTATTTACTGTAGTGGAAATGACAAATATATAATGGTGTAGGAATAATTGTAGTTAAACATCTTAAAGATAAGCCTTCTTGAGTTAAGGTATATTATAGGAAGTGTGGGTGCCCACAACCTAAGGGATCCAAAGTGAATGTTTGACCAATTTATTCCCTTGATAGTGGTCAAAAAGTGTGACTTGTTTGGGATGTTCTAAATAAGTATATTTTTTGACTTTTAGGAAAAGATGTGTAGAAAAGTAGAGAGGAGATATTGGTTGATGCGACCCAAATAAGTGCACTTATGCAAAAAAGTGCACTTACATAGTTTAACCCAAACAAGGCTTAGAGGCCACTACCGCAGGCTCTGCCCGAGATGCGCGTAAGCTGGTTCGGACACCCGGTCATAAAAAAAAAAGAAGTGACTTAGCATCAGGTGCATGCAAACGTTTTTTTTCTTCCTTTTTTGTGTGCCTCTTTTACAAAGATTTTCCTATTAAGCAGTCTATTTTTCTTACAAGAAAATAATATTTTTCACTCTTATTTGACCCACTCTTAAAATCCTAATTTTATGAACTCTACATTACCTATTTTGGTAGATAATCAAGGGCAATGAGTCATTTTTGGTTTCTTGCTTTAAGTTTATTTTCCGAGCTAGTAAGAGAGTAATCTTTTGCACTTGTCTACATTACATTACAGTAATATTTATATGTAGCCAAACTAAGCAATGGTGAGTTTCGATTGAAAAATTAGCAGGAGTACTTCACTTCTGTATGTGATGCACATATGTGGTGAAGATAGGTGATGCTGTTACATAACACCATAACTAATGATAGGTGATGCTGTAAAGATAGGTGATCCTCTTAAGAGTACTATTTACCATGGCTGTAAAGATAGGTGATGCTGTTACATAACACCATAACTATTGATATCCAAATGTTTCTTATTGTTACATATCAATATATTAGGCTATTGTAATCCTATATCAAGTGCTCACTTGCTACCCATCTGCCAGGCATCCTCTAATCCTTTGTATACTAGATCATATATGGATGAGTTATCAGTGTGTTGTAACAGCTGTTACAAGCCAATAATCTATTTTTGTAACAGCTGTTTTGAAGTGTCTTGTGACCTCTTGTCTCTGCTTTTGAGGCTAAGGCATCTAGTGCTTTGGTCTATAACTTCAGACCAAATCAGCTTAATTATAGAGGGAGCAAGTGGTGGAGGCACAAATGTCCTCGTGTTGAAGGTCCACATTTCCCACATTATGGTTGATGATGTGGATGCTCTTGATGCCATGGCAATGTTTATGCATTGAAGTACTGGTTATGTAGCCATATCAAGCGAATGAAAAAAATTTATAGCTCTGACAACTGACTTTTGTAATGAATTTACCATTATTCCCCATGTTGTTCATAAAGTTTGCTATGACAAACAGTGTGGTTTATTTGACATGAATACTATAGTCCTCACAAGTTTTTGAATGATGTGGGATCTTGATCCTTGAGATTTTCTTTGGATGCTATCTTGTTTTAGATGATGAGCAATCTTTTTCCATGTCATATTTGCTAATATGTAGTTCAGTTTTGAGAAGTTTATGAAAATAGATTAAAATTTTAAGTGACAGTGGTGTTGCTTTTGTTCATTATGGTGCAGTACTTGTTCTTCTTTTTGGATTGTTAATATCTTATAATCTGTAGAAGAGTGGTCAAGTATTTCACTTTCTTTTTCTATCTTGCTCATTTTGCATTTTCCCGTTTGTCCTTCAAGCTTCTCAAACCTGTTCTAAAGTTGTCTTGCAGGATTTCATTCCACAAATTAAATCCCGTTACAAATCTTTTGAAGATGTTTTCTTCAACAAGGTCAAAGGTAACTCGCTATAACTTGTAATGAGCAATAAGCACCCCCATGGACTCACACAATGTGTTTTTTCTTCTCTTTCAAAGACCTGGTTGACGAAGTTTTTATGGATGGCTTGATAATAAATAACTTTGCCATATAGTCCACTGCTGGTTTTGGGGTTCATCTGTGAGAATTCATTTTCGTCTCGGTATTTCATTGGATTGTTAATCTTTTCATTCTTCCTATATGCTAAAGGCTCAAAATACAGACATACCTCAGGAGTTTATCACTTCAATATTTAGTTACTAGTGTCTTGTGGTTGGTTTGAAATGTGGACAATGCATCAAGGATATGCTTAAAGGATCATTAGTTTGGAATAATTAATGTCTTGGCCAAATTTTTTGGCATATGAGTTAGTTTTGATTATTGGGTTTGGTCTTTTTTAGTTTGTTTTTACACTGTTCTATCTCTTTTTATAGATGAATTGATCGATGCAAGAGAACATCCATTTGTGGCAGGGGGAGTTGCTCTTATAGCTAGCCTTCTTCTTATGCAAGGTATGGATTAGATCTGATGCATTTTTTTTTATTTTATATTTTTACCCATTGACCTCTTAATTTGATTATGCATCTAATACTTGTCAGAGAACAATTAATTAAAGCTCCCATCTCATGAAATTCAAACTTCTACCAATAGTGGGAGGATGAAGCACCTTTTGTTATTCGAAAACAAAAAGAAAAATTCAGCCAAATGGTGGTAGCTGATGTTGAATTTTTCCCCCAAATGTTTTACACCTACGTGTTTCATTGTATGGCATTTTGCAATAAATCCAATAATGTGTTTCTAATCTCAATATGGGGCAATGAAGATATAAAACAATTTGTAGATCCATATAGCCAATGCCAACTAATACTGATCAAGGTTTTATTGGGTTGAGTTGATGTGTATGTCTGCACAAACTTCTCTTCTTTCTTTTGGATGAAAACAAAGAAAATGTTCAAGAAGAGAATGAAAGGGAGTTTTTATCACATTTATAGAAGGCAATTGCATTAGTGCAAGAGGCACAATAGAAATTTTAGCTTTTAGTTCAAGCCGTAGCTTGTGGCTTCAACTTAACTTAGAGATGAAAAGTGGATGAATTCCTCCTAGGAACCAAAAAAGGCCATGTTGACTTTTGTTTGTTTAGAGGCTATTGTATGATGTGTAGGCTAGAGGCTTTGTTTGCTTTTTATTTTTTATTTTTCTTCTTGGAGGACTTCTTGTTCTTTGGTTTCTTGTACTCTTTATTTATTTATTAATAATATTCTCATTCTTTTGTTGGCAATCAGAAAAAAAAAGCCCATTCTCCATTGCTAGTCCTCAAAATTGAACCATGTGTTTTGATTCCATTTATAGAAGGCAATTGCATAAAGGATTGCATTAGTGCAAGTCACAATAGAGAAATTTTGGCTTTTAAGTTCGAGGGGGAGCTTGTTGCTTCAACTTAGAAATGAGAAGAATGACTGATGACAGATTGCTAAGAACCAAAAAAAGGCCATTCTCTATTGGTGGTCCTCAAAATTGAGTCAAGTATTACAAGTCTGGGGTTTTTGGCCTTGAGATTTTGGGAGTTGTTCCCTTTCCTTTTTGTATACAAAAGACATTCCTTTGTGCCCTTTTTTTTATTAATGATAAAAAATGTAAGTTTTTCCTATTTTAAAATGTATCTACTATGTGATGTTAAGTAGTAATCCAATGTTATTTATGAATGCTGAAGAGGATGATTCTTCAGCTCGTGAACGAGACTTTTGATGATTGTGAGGCTCCTAATGACCAGACATAAGTTTTGGTTGTGGAACATGGACGTAGTGTGGCTTTCAGAGATCCCTAACCTTTCTAGGTTTTGAGGTTCCTTGGCTTTTCATATAATGGCGGATGTCTTAAAGCTTTTTACAGGGTAAGGGTTTTCTCGGAAGTCTGCAAGGTGGATCTAGGAAGCTAGAGTGTTTTAGTTTGAAAAATGAAGATGGGAGCTCTTGTAGGTTAGGGCTTGTAGTTTGTGTAAAGTTGATGTGTTGTTCGTACTTGAGTTTGATTTATGGGATGGATCACTAGGTTTCCCAAAGGTCTTGATGGATTTTAGCATAGGAGGAGAACGACAGAAGAAAAGTCAACCATGGCGTTTCTTCAAGTAGCAAAAGTTCGTCAATGGCCGTACAAGGTGATAAAAGTGAAGTCGTAGAGGAAGCAGAGTGATTGCTATGCAGAGGTGGCCTTCTCTTTAGCAAATGATTTGTTTGGATAGATGCCATGTAAGTAGGTTGTGGAAAATTGAAGGCTCGGTGCCAAAGGCTGAACCTTTGAGTAGTTGAGTTTCTCTGGAAAGGGTTGATAGGAGTGAGAGGTTTTGGATTGGATTGGATTGGAGTGGAGTGGAGCCTTTCACTTATTTGTGTTCCCTTCGAAGAGGTTGGACCAATGAATCTTGGAAGGAGAATGGAGCTTTGGAAAGAGAATGCCAGTGGGTAGCTGTTATAGGTCAGTTGCTAGGCTGATTACTTTTGGGTTATAGGATGATGTCTATTCTGGCTCATTTGTGGGATAATGAAGTATTCAAGTCTATTGGAGAGTTTTGGGTAGGTTTCTTGATGGTAGATGACGATATTACTTGATAGGGACACTACAGGTTGGCTCATATCAGGGTTAGAGGAGACAGGTGAAGGGTTCCAGCTGTTGTAAGGGTTGGGTGGGGACTGATAAAAAAAAAAGGGGTTGGATGGGGTTGGATGTAGATATGTTCTACCATTATGGTAGGAGTTGGGACCAAGAACATAGTATATATGGTACTTTGGAGGTGATTTGCAATTGATTAGGGCGTTGGAGGTGATCAATGAATACCAACAAAATTTATTTATTTATAATATATATTTACAAGGACAATGATACTTTGTAGGATAGGATGTTAGTGTCTGAGAAATGACATACTTATAAAACTAGTGTAGTTGAGATTGATGTAAGGATACTTGGATGTGTGGTAAAACTAACAAAGACAAAATTAGAATGATTATATTGGTCAAATGATTTGAGTTGTGGCAATTAAAGATAAATTGAGAGAGAACATGCTAAGATGGTTTGGTCTTGTACAATATGATTACCATAAATGGAAATGTTAGTAGGAAAAGACCTAAAACTAACATGGGAGGCGGTAGTACGAAAAGATATGAATTTATTTGATTTCATTGACCATATATCCTTGACAGAGCAAAATTGTAGAAAAGAATTCTTGTAGCCAATCCCACTTGATTGGAACACCAGGCTTTGATACTAGGCCCATCTTGAAGGACTTTGAGTTTAATGTAGGGCCCTAGTAGTACTGAAGGTGTGGGTGGGGGAAAAGCCCAGTTCAAGGAGTTTTTTATTTAGGCTGAAGGCTAACTTGGGTTTTGCGCAGAGCCCAACACTGTTTACTGAGACAAGTGGAGCTCTCTCTCTTTTTGGAAATGATTTGGACTATGAGCTTGTAGGGGATTCAATATTCTTTGAGAGCTGGAATGGACAAGGACAAAAGGGTTGTTGGTAATGGGGTTTCATTGGAACAATTCATGCTTAAAGAATAGAGGGGTGATGGGTTGAAGTGCTTTAAGCTTCAAGTATTTCTTGAAGTTGGCAGCAATCCTATTTGCCTTCATTGGCACCCATTTTTTCTACAATGGTGCCTTTCTTGGGTATGGGTTCAATCATGACTTCTTTCAATTGAAGGTGGTGCATCGACCTCAAAATCTAAGGAGGTTTGTTACTCGTCTCCTCTAGGTTTTAGGGAGGGCTTTGATGAGGATTGTGGGGTGGTTGCTCAATATGGCCTGTGTTTTTTGGACATTGGTGGCGAGGGTTCTATGGCGATTGTTTGTAGTTATGTTGACATTGTAGGTGCTGTTGAATTGTCATATGATCTGATCTGATCTATGACCTGGTTTGGTCGGGGGTAGGGGCAACTAATATACTTATTAGAACTCAGAAGGGGTCAATAGTATTGGATAATCGACTTCGGAGGGTATGTTGTACCTATTTGGCCACCATATTGCTCTTTTGCCTCCTAAAAGGGGTGGGCTTGTGGTTGTTGAGGGTGGAGCTACGCAGGAAACTGGTATCTCTTTTGCCTCCTGAGAGGGGTGGTCTTGTGGTTGTTGGGGGTGGAGCTACGTAGGAAAAATGTATCTAATAGGGTGTTATAGTCGATTATGCTATGTTTGAATGATGATTGTATATTCGATTATGCTATGTTTTATGGCAATCCATGTCATTCATGTATATATACGAATTAGAAGGAAAGAATTCAAGATTCATTAGTTAAGAAGTTACATAAGGTACAATGGTCCTATGTACGATCGACACCTTACCTTTCCCCTATTAGATTTTTATTTTTTATTTTTATCAACGATTCTTAATAAAGGAAGCTAACAAATTCGAACTCTCAATTTCTACACAACAAATAACTCAATGACAGTTTTTACAACAAAAGTAATAAAAAAACTCACCTCAGAGAAAGGGGGGGGGGGGTAGTAAAATATTCAATATTGTAGACACAGAAAAAACCTTACTTTTTCAATGTTTTGAGTCTTTGAAAGTAAATATGGAGAGAAAAATGCACATGATGGAATACAATGACCTTAAAGACCCCTTTCTGGCAAACAAAAAGTCCAAAAATCGAATTCAACAAATCAAAAGTGAATGTATTGATTCACGATTCAATAATTTAGTTTTGTAATTCACCAATTCTTTTACGATTCTTAGCTATTTGTAATTCATGCAACCTGTTTGTATCGAATTGTGATATTCTAAATAATAGAGATTAGGAGCCTTTGGGGTTGCAGGTTCGTGGATTGGCAATCTTTGGGGGTGGTGGGGATGCAGGAAGTATTTTGTTTGTTTTGGGGCGACCAAATATTGGTGGAGAAGTTTGATTGTGAGAAGGGTTGCTTTACGGGGTGGACCTTTACGGGGTTATATGGCCAAGTGGATAGTGCTGGTGGGAAGGAGATGTGGTTGTAGCTTTCTGACTCAATTTTTAGATTGGAGGACCCATGGTGTGCGGGTGGTGATTTTAATATGGTGCAATATCCTTCTAAAATGTTGGGTTGTGCCTAGTAGGTCAGATTGATGAGGGCTAAGAAGCATGGACACGGACACGTGACACGACACGAGTACGACACGGACACGCCGACACGTTAATTTTCAAAAAATGCAGGACACGACACGAGGAGGACACGTATGAAATATATAATTTTATATATTTATTATATGTTATATATACATGAATATATCATTCAAAGATAATAAAAAATGCAATATGACACTAATTCTTATAAATTTATATGGTTTTTATTTTATTATTGTATCTTAAGTTATTTTGTTCAAACTTATAATTAGTTTTACGTATGTCTAATCGTTAGACACGTGTGTTTAAACGATTGACACGTGTGTCCTTCAAGTGTCCAAAGAGTGTCCAAGTCTTTAAACAATAGAACACGTTTTGAAGAGTGTCGGACACGTGTCCTGAGAGTGTCCAAAGAGTGTCGGT